TAAAAATTACCAAACTTTTACAAGAACGCAAAAATGTATCTTTTAGGCTAAGAAAAAAAACTAAAATATTTCTAATCATTTGTAATGAGTGGAAGTAGGTACTAAATGTCTTTAATGGCGCTGTCAGTGCGCATTTTGCTGTGGTTGGCCGGCGGCTTTTTGTTGTGCCTTTATAAATTCAGGATAGTCAATATATCCGTCCCTGTTTCCATCATCAACATTTAAAATTGGATCAATTAAATTCACCAATTCCTCATCCTTGAAGATTTTCTCTTCAATTTGTCCCTGTTTCTCTTTGCTGCCCTCTTCTAAAATAGCAAACAGTAAAACCCAACTACACAATAGGAACAACAATTAACATTAAGCAAAACAACAAAAAATCCTTGCATAAAATGTATGAAAGTAAGTAAGAAGCCCACTAAGAGAATACATGACAGCGACAGTTGCATTGTTTCTGTCAAGGTCATCTGTCAAAATCTTCCCTTCTCTTTCTAGAGAGACTTTAAGTATAAGTCAAAGCAAGTTATAGAGTTATAATATTATAAAAATATCAGTTACATTAATTTACATATTTAACTTACCATGCCAGTGAATTAATGATTTAATTAATTCACAACCATCCAATTTATTATTGTTATCTGAATCATGCATCTTAAAATAATGAAACTGAATTTCTTGTTCGGACATTTTGCTTGTATCAAGTGGTACATTTAAATGTTCAGCAATATGACTGAAAACAAAATAAAATGTCATATACAGATGGATATTAAACACTTATTCTAAAACATACTCCTTTTCTTGGGCAATATTTTGAGCATTTAGTAAATGTTGTTGTCCATGGTGAGCATGATCATGGGCAGCCTTAAAATAAAGAAAACGATAATTTGCATCAAAATTAACAAAACAATTAGGTGTGCTAAAAGCTAACAAAAGGCATTGGAAAATTATAACTATATTATACAGTGTTCAAAACAGCTTTATATCAGGTTTACTATTTGAGATTTTTGAGAAAATAATGTAATAAAATAATGACAAATAGAATTATGATTCAAAGTTCATGCATATACTACAAACAGAATGTGGCACTTACTTGTGGAACTTGTTGATGTTGAACAGGTTGCTGAGGCGCTTGCTTTTGAGGTACCTGCTAAAACAAAAACAGCAAAATAAAACACTAAATCACCACAATACACCAAAACACTTTTACTTTTACACTGGACGCGCGCCAGATGATTATAAACTACTTTTGAGTTTATAATCATTTGCTGATGATGCTAACAAGGTTAGCGAAACGCGCATCCAGTATAAAAGTAAAAGTGTTTTGGTGTATTGAGGTGATTTAGTGTTTTATTTTGCTGTGTAACACAAAAGGTTCCAACCCTCAACTGTAAGGTACCTGCTGTTGTTGAGGTACTTGCTGTTGTGGTATGTGCTGTTGTTGTGGTATGTTCTGTTGTTGTGGTATGTGCTGTTGTTGAGGTACAGTCTGTTGTTGTGGTACCTGCTGAGGTGGTGCTCTCTGTGGTACCTGCTGAAACTGCTGCTGAGGCACTTGGTATTGTTGTTGTGGTACTTGTTGATATTGTTGAGGAGCTTGATACTAAAATTAAAACACACGAGAATCCATAAAAACGTAATTTTCGTACTTGTTTAACGATTAGTATAGGTAAACTGCAACTTAAGTTTGCAGAAATTGGGTACTTCTTTCAGGATATCCAAGCATATGTTTGTTATTGCTATAATTACCTGTTGATGTTGATAATGTTGAGGATTTACACCCGGCGGAGCTCTTTGGCAACGAACGATTAATACAAAACTAAAGATAGACAGCAGTAATAAAAACGAATTCATTTTGAACTATTTAAGTTATAATAATCAAATCTGCATCGTTTGATTGCTTTTAAAAATTAATAAGGTTAGCTAAGCTCAGATGAGACTGATGAGAGAGACACGTCATTTTCGCTTTTCGCTTTCCTAAAAATCAAAACGTCATCACAACAAAAACATTTTATTGACCTCGTTTTTAGAGACAGGCGAGTTTTTTCCAGAATTTGGCTAAATTTTCAGGTGCTGGCTGAATAGTGACACTGACTAAAGGCCATTCCATGAAAAAGAAGATATGAATTCTTCTTTTTATTTTATTAGCTCTGTAAATGTAAATGTACTTTATGGATGTGCTCTGTGGCTGTGTACCATACTGTGTACATATGTCTTAAGTCAATGACTAATGGGTTAAGAAAAAAAAAGAAGATTATGGATTACAAACACCATTTTTTTTTAAATTATCGTACATTTTGATCAACGGACGTGTAAAAAGATTATAATATGTAATTTTGAATCTTAAGTTATCTCCAACTTACAAATTACATTGAAAGGACAGCCCGATATTGCTCCACACGTTTTTAACCAATATAACTTTTCTAAAATTATCCTCCCAGTCGTCGCTAGTAAAACCGAATATTTTTGACTCTGAGAGCGGCAACAAACTGAAAATTATATTGCTCTCGTTTGAGAAATACCCATCCAACTCTTTGTGTAGAGAACAAGTTTTTACCGCGTCTAGACTATAAGGAAGAACGGATAAAACGCCCGCTGGAAACTGCTTGCTGATATCCTGATAAAGACTTACTGTTGCGGCCGATTCGTTTAGTAATATTACACTGTTACCTACAATTTTAATTGTATTATAAAAATAACTACTTATATTTATTTAAAAAAAAATGTCTACCTTCTAGAAGAGCAGCAATTATTAACTTCCAACAATGGGTATCTATATCGGTTCTGGTTTCAATGACAAGAACACCTTTAGGTTCTTTGGAGGATGTTACATTAAAACCATTTATACTAAGTGTTCCTCCAATTCCTGGAATAACTGATACACCTCCTTCTATTGTTTGCAATAAGTTAACAAGCCATGCATCAGGCACTTTTGAACTAAAACAAGCTTACGTAAAATCTTGTTACCTATAATGACTAGGTATTATATATTTAACTTACATAATTTTCGACTTATTTTCATCAATAAGCTTTTCTATTTGTAGGAAAACCAGAGATTTCTCTAAAAATGTCATTTTATTCCAGATACTGCTTGCACGTTTACCCAAATTAATTGCATTTTTTACAACCTCGACGTTCTTATACGTGTCTGGTAGTTCAAATGGCCCGCGTTGAATAGGCGGTGAAATTCTCGCGTATTCTGCAATTCCTTTTGAATAAAAATTAATATCTACATTGAACCTCTAAAATTATATTAAATACCGAATTTAGATCCAAAAAATCCAAGACCACTGTCTTTGAAAGGTATTAAAGGCACCTCAGGAGAAAGTAAACCATGAGAGTTTATCCAGACATTATTCACCTTAAAATAAATATTTTTTTAGTTTTGATTTTAAATATGCAAGAAGTATTCGTACGTTTAATTTTCTAGCTACTTCATTCACTAGGCCAATATTCTCACACCAAACAGACACGCCCAGTCCTTGTCTAGAATTATTAGCCAAATTGACAGCCTCATCAATAAATCTAAAAGGCACTAATGTTACGGCAGAACTATTTTCTAAGGTTTCAATCACATTGTTTGTAGAAACTTTTGACCCTAAAGAAAAAATCATTTATTTTAATCAATCAATTTAAGGACTTATTTTACCTATGATAAGTGTAGGAGTAAAATCACTATTAGTACTTATTTCTTTCTGATAAACTGTTATGCCCAATGATTTTGCCTTGTTGACTTGCTTAGTCAAATTTTTGGATATTTTTGAATTTGTGGGGTAAGATATATCAGCATTTCTATCGTTACCATACCCAATTTTAAGAATCTCCAATTTACGTCTTAATTTTACTTCTACTTTATTAAATACATTCTCTTGAATTATTACAGTATCTATAGACCAAGGATTCTGAAACAAGCAAAATAAGCTATTTCAAAATAAACTATACGTATTAAGTATAGTATAACATAAAAAACTTATATTTGGTTACTATAATATAATAATCCCTACCATTCCTTGGTAGCCCCATGCAGCTTCTATAATATTTTCAACAGCAGAATCCGTATCAGCGTCGTCAAAAACTATTACCGACGTTTTATATGACGAAACTACAATAAATTAATTATTTTAATCATAAACGATAAATTTCTGAATGAGGAAACTTACAAACCAAAATTTTCTTGTTCAGTTTATTGACTCCCCTTATATTTTGGATTTAGTAAGTCTAAAAATAGAATAACTATACCTACTGTTCATTATTCAAATATAATTGTAATTCGGTATCATTTTGATGATACCGAACAATTACAACTTGGGACAAGTACAAAAAATTCTTCAGGTATCCTTAAAAAACACAGTAATTAGGGTACTTTCAAGTGATTTACAAATAATAATTTAAGTATTACCCCACTTTTTTAGCTAATTCCAATATATATTTTACAACCCTCGCAAATTTAATTCCAGTTTGAATTAAAATTGTATAACCTGATACTATACTTGGTATTATGGCAAGCGCTAAAAGCCATAAAGGGCTATCGTCTTCAAAAACTGCTACGTTTAATCCTAAAAAATAAATGAAAGTACTTGGGAAAGCATTTATAAAATATTAAAAAATTATATTATCTAACTTATTGAAAGACCCCGGTATTTAAAATTATGGAAAATGAACGGTTTTATAGGTACCACAGATTATACGCGTGACATTTGGCAGCTGGAGCCAGTGATAACTTCAGAGGTATTATTTTAATCCGCAAAAACCGCAAAATATCCATAATTATTGAAAATTCTACATGCAGTGATTAAGAACAATAATTTATATAATTTTATAATACACTAGAAACGTGTAAGTACCGTAATTTTATTTATAATATTTTTTTATTAAAAATCCATCATAATTTTAAGGTTACAAACTATGCCGAGGTGTATAAAATTACCTTTGGATTCTCCTTTTTTATCTTTCTCGTTGCTTCGTTTAATAAAATTTGCATAGTAAAACAAATACTGTGCTATAATATCCGTCGATTTTTTCGTGTCTTTTGATAGCACTCCCCGTTGTATAATTTCAATTTGTGCTATTACATTGGACTTTCCTCGGATCTCTTGAGCTAATCTAATCAACGGATATTTTCTTTTTAAATGCATATATTTACAAAAAGGATTTTTTTAAAGTTTTACCTTATCAAATGTTGCTTTTGAACTTTTTCTGTACTTTGTTTTATACCTTTTAGAACATCATCAACATCATTAGATTTGTCTTGTATTTCTGTGGATTGAAGCCATTCCTATAAATTAACTCATTTTTTATATAAAATTTTACTTACAACTGCAAAATTACTTACACTAGCTTCAGTAGTGTCCTCAAGATTTTCACCATAAGACATTTTGTCAAATATTTGATGTAATGTTTCAATTTTGGTATCCATTATTTACATATACAATATCTTATTTATCATTACAAATTAATGAAGAAACGTTTAAAGTACTTACAGTAAACTAAGAATTCAATTGTGGTAATAGATTTATAATAATTCTAGATCGATTTAATTGTAACTAACAATATTGTAAGTTAGAAATAAGATAAGGAACTTGTCTTTGTTTACGATTAGAATACAGGGGGATGTCCGAAAGTATAAAAAATATTTTGCAGAAATACGTGAAAAAAGGATGTTGTGCCAATACCACCTAGAATCAAATTAAATATCTTTGACCTAGAATATAATATTTAATTTAGGTGGTATTGGTTCTGAAGGATCATAATACAGGGGGATGTTCAAAAGTAGTAAAAATATTTTGCAGAAATAGATGAAAAAGAATGTTGTCGGTTTCAAGACTTTGCACATTAACTCCAAGAATTTCATCCCAATTTTTAAACACATCTTCAAAAAGCCTTTATAAAATTTCACCTATAAGACGTCTGACTAATATATCTTGTAGAAAACCACAAACTTTTTGGCAGAATAACCTGAAGGTAAATTATGATCAGTTAAAAAATATATCTTTATATATTGATTCATATTACTTTTTAGCTTTTATCAAAAAGTAATGGCACAGTACTTTTAAGACTAACATCAAATTTACCGCAGAAAAGTTCAAAAACTGTTGGATATTGGCTGTTAACATGTAGCGGAATGGTTTTTGTAGCTGTTATTCTAGGTATATGTATTTATTATGGTATTTTAAAAAGTGTGTATATTGTTATTGAAGAAATAATTAAGAGAACTCGTGGAGTGTAATAAATATACAAATCATATTTATTTATATTAAATATTTAGAATTTAATAAAATAATTATTGAATTTAAGTGTTTCTTTTGCCTTTAGAGGTCCCTTTTTTAGTAATAAAGTTAACTAATGGCTTACAGGGGGAGTAACACGTTTAACTGAATCCGGGCTTTCAATGGTAACATGGAAATTATTAGGTGAAAAAATGCCCAGGACGCAACAAGAATGGGAGGAGGAGTTTGCCAAATATCAGCAATATCCCGAATTTAAATTGTAAGTTCAGTATTTTTAAGTATCTTTTAGGTTTTAGCGTCATCATTTTTTTCCCTGTAGAAAGAACCGAGAGATGACGCTTTCTGAATTCAAATTCATTTGGCATATGGAGTACGGACATAGGCAATGGGGTAGATTGATAGGGGCCGTATTTTTGATACCCGCTGTATACTTCTGGGCTAGAGGCAGATTTACGCCAGCCTTAAAGAAGAGAGTGTTGGCTTTTGGAGCCTTAATCGGCTTGCAGGTATGAGAATATAACGGGTGTAACTTGAATAAGTGTAAATATTTTCGGAGGGGTAGATATAGCAATTAAAAGTCGTATATTTTCCATTTTTTAAATAAGTCCAAAATAAATACCGCAGTTATTTAAGTTTTAAACTAAAAAAAGTTTACATTTTGAGAGCTACCGGTTTATTCTTTTTTATAAATTAATCTGAATTAATTAAGCTTTATTCAGAACCTCGCAATTAGTGGAATAAATTAGCGTAGAAGTTTGTTCCTTTAATTTCAATGTAAGCATTTGTTAAAATTAGTGGTAGACGTTTTCAATTAGTAGAAAAAGTTATCAAACTTTTAACTTTTCCACTAATTATACTTCAAAATTTGCGAGAAATGTCATTTTAGCCTTTGATTATCTCCCTTCAAGAGAAATGGTGGTTAGACATCAAAGTTTAATTTTTATAAGCTAAATATTAGGCTTTCTCTATGGATACAACCATGATACAACTGAACGCGAGCTGTTACTAGATATTCTCACAGGATATTCTATTAATTTTAATTGTGTTTTTTAAACATTGTGAATGATTGTAAACTAAAAAGTATAAAGTGTAATTGAAACCACTAATTTATTCCACTAATTGCAAGGTTCTGAATGAAGAGGAAAGTATATTATTTAACTTAAAATAACTTGTAAGTTTTCAAAACCCAACTAACGTCAAAATCGCTTATTTATTCTTCTAAATTATTGGCAAAATAATCTGTCATTTATTGCGGTAAATTAATCATGTCTTCATTAAATAACCATATAGAATAAACGTTACATGGTCATTTCAGGCAAAAATTAAAACTGATTTTTTTATTTCAGGGTTTGATGGGATGGTATATGGTTAAGTCTGGTCTCGAAGAACGATTTCACGGTGAAAATGACGTACCGCGCGTTTCTCAATACCGTCTTGCTAGTCATTTGAGTCTAGCCTTTGTTCTGTATACGCTGTTGTTATGGTCCGCATTTAACGAGTTGTTACCGGCCGAAACTCTCAGAGTTAGTACCGACGCAGTACTGAAAGCTACGCGAAAATTTAGGATGTTCGCGCATACAACGAAAGGAATGGTGTTCCTTACAGCAGTTTCAGGTAAATAAATAATCTGCTACGTTGCTTGTAAACATGGCAAAGTGTATTATAATTATTTAATATGTAAAATCCAACATATAGTCTGTCCAACGACAAGATCCTTGACAGTGATAGATGTGTCTGTCATTTTAATTTCAAAGTAGTTTATTTATTCTCAAAAGAAATTAAGTGTTGGTAACATCATTGGACGGCGGATAGCGAACAGAAAACCTTTGAATAAGAAGGACTAAGGAAGCAGACGACAAAGTATCGCATGGCAATTGGTGGTGACGGACGCAAGAAGGCAACCATAAAGAGCTGCTATAATGGTGGGGCGGGGGCCGTGGAGCGCCTTGGACGATGCATTTGAGCACATTTTGGAAATTTGATTTGAATTTTCTGATTTGTCAGTCTTTACGGAGCCGATTTATTTATGTTATTCTTATTATTTATGCACCTCAAGACGCACTGACTGAGTTTATAAAAGGTACAGTGTGACAGAACTTACGAGTGGAGCACAAGTGGCAGAAACTCTTAACACAAAGTGAGCGGCAAGAACGCGAACGTATCTGCGGATTTATCCGAAACCAAGACTCAAGAAATACGTATGGTGGCTGCTGAGCGTCCAGGTAAGATCTCGGCAATTATAAGAGATTGAGTGCAACCACATCATGTAATGAGAACAACTTTTTCGCTGAAGCTGACTATATTATATGGATATACTAACGTGTAAGGTAGGACCGGATCTAATGTCGAAATTGCACTTGAATTGAACTAAATTGATAGTATTTCGTTCGCGCATGTTTACGCCTTTTATGCGTAATTAACTGTGTGTGAAAGATTAGATGTCAAACAATATCCGTGTAGTAAACCGACAATTTATGAAATATCACCTTGAATTGAAACTAAATTATGATATTTTTCTTATGCATTTTACGGCTTGTATTTTATTAATATGTCAAAGATTAGATGTCAAATTTTTTTTTTTTTTTTTTTTTTTTTTTAATAAATATGTTTTAATTTGACTTACCTGCTTATCGGATGTTTGTGTAATAAATACTTATTATAAAAAAAAAAAAAAAAAAAAAATTTAATAATTTTATAACAATTTTATCCATAACGTACCGCCAACATGTTTATGTGTCACGGAACGTGACAAGTGAGAGACCAACAAAAAATTATTGAGTCTAACCAAAGACATCTAAAAAAAATAAAAAAAAAAAATTTCATTTTTTCAAATAATAGCAAACGACACTTGATAACACCCGAATCTTTAATAAGTCGTCCATATTTGAGGCCCATCCGCGGTGTACCTAAGAGATTTTTGATATGCGTGCCTCCGTTAGTCTTCCTTATTTGCAAAAGGCAAGAAATTAGATTATAAGATTATAAAAGTTTGAAATGACAACGTTAATTAAACTGTCAAAAATACTCTGTGAAGAAAAAGAAACTCAATAAAGACGAACAAGAGAAGAACAACTATGTTCTTCGACTCTTCCAAGCTCATCAAGATAAGCACCTTCCGGGCAATTCTTATGTATTATATTTACACTTCGACATAATTCACAACAGGATTATTGCTATCAGCGAGATATGGACACCAATCCATTTCCAACAAAATAAATCGTACTCACACACAAGGGAATAAAAGAACAAATAAAACAACTATTGTATCTTAAAATAAACGATCGCAGATTCTAGTACCATTTTACTAAGGTTGATTAATTACACGTTAATCTTCGGATGGTAACTTTATTATTGGTGTATAAGACTTTCTGCACCTGGGCACCCGGACGTAAGAAAACCTCTAAACCTGTGCTTTTGGTCACAATTAATTTTCTC